TACTCAAATTACTAACTACTTTCGAAATTATATACTGCTAATTTTGCCCATCACGAAAGTTTGAGCGCAGAAATGAATAAGACGCCGGCAGATGAAGTGGCATTCCCGAACAAGGGGCCCCCTTGTTCGGGAAGGCGTCCTTGGACCAAGGTGACGGGTTATGCCAAGACATAACACCGGTAATCCGGTAATGCACGCAGGCGCCGCGTTTCCAGCTGCAACCGTGAAAGACGGGGACACTCTGAGAGTTGTTTTCGTGTTGTCTGTCTTTAGTGAGTTCTGACTCAAGTGGCACGTTCCACGGGAGGCGCCACTGGAATGACCTCGCAGCTGGGCGCCTGCTCCCATGGTCGCCTTGTCGTCAGCGCATACGCCTTTGCAAAGCCGGACTCCCCCGCGCACAAACCCTGGTACGGATAAATCCGTTCATGGGAGCACGTTCCCGCTTCCAGCTCCAACTTTATACGAGCGACGATGCTTGTTCACGTATACCTTCGCGTCCTTTCGAGCATCCATGCCTGGGAGACCTCACCTTTGTTAAAAAAGATTCAGACGCGTCAGAATATTGTAGTCGCCGGCGAGGATTGCGAGTTACCCTTGGGAGATCCTTTTGTTAGGCCCGGCGTCAGCGGCAAAGTATGCTTCGGTTCATCTTCTGTTAAACCAAAATATTTTTTTTTTCAGTAGCGTAGCACTAGCTGTACAACGGAACGCGCAGTCGTCCGGATGATCTCATCGTCGTGGCGCGAGACTTGAACCCTTGACTGTCTTGTGCACTCGCTCAGCGTACTCTCAAAACGCCGTCGGAATAAAGAGGGGCCAGTTATAACAATCTCAACTTTACGAAGAAAAAAAAAAAAAAGGAGGAAAGTTTGTTATAAAAGACCCTCTACCCGAGGCAAACCTCACATGTTTCGTCATGGACACCTAAGATAACGACACTCGCTTACCCTACCCTGCACAGCCTGTTTCTCAAATTCAACGCTGCCGTTCCATCCAGCCCGTCGGTGGAACGTCTATTTAGCTTGGCTGGGGACGTCTTTAGAAGGAAAAGAGGAAAACTCTCCTATCAAGAACTTTGAAAGTCAATTCCTTTTGCGAGCGAATGAACTATTTTGGCGAAAACGCAAGCCATAAAGAGACTATTTATTTTAGGCTCGCAGGGTTTTTCATTGATCAGAACTGCTGTTCATTTTGCTACCACAAAAATATAAAAAAGTAACTTCGAAAGTAACTTCAAAGTAATTCGCTACTTTTTACAGTAGTTAGTAGTTTACTCAATTACTATTACAAATGCGTAATTTCTACTCTACTCTAATTACTTTTGGCGTCGATACTCAGTAACTTAACTTAACTACCTTTTTTGAGTAATTTGTACATGTCTGCGCTATAGCAACAACTGCGTCGGCTTCAACAAAACCGGCTTTTACTCCGTTTTGTTGGAGCCGACGCTGCTGTTGCCATAGCAACCCGTACGTCGCAAGCCGTCGCTGCCGCACTTGGCCGGACTCACGCAAGTATGTGAACCAACCATAAGGCTCTGTTATATAAAGGCCCCGTGTTGGTTGACCAGAAGATGTAATCCCTCTGAATGCGTTGGATATCAATGCCCTTGAGTGTAAATATAACGAAATCACAAAACTCTCTTTGTGTATTGTGTAACTGCCCTTGTATTTGGTAGTAGATGCTATGGTGGTGAGTTAGACCTTTCACACCAGGCTTTTTTTGTTATTTTTTCTTGTTTTTTCTCATACTCTTTTGCAGTTTCAGTAGGCTTCAGGAATCTTTTGGAACGGGGACACTTTACCTCACCGAGGCCATTTGTTCCAAGCAGTTCATCAGGGGATGCTGCTAGAAATCCGTGCTTCATATTAATAAGCCGCACTTTTGCACAGTGCAGTTTTCCTGTTCCACGTGCAGTTGCAAGTTGTAAAGAAAAGTTTTTAGGTACACGATACTTGAAACAAGTCTGGCACTGTACGTTGTGGTTGGACACCCACTAATGTCGTCGCCCTTATAGAGCCTCATCATCTAATCCTTACCTCGTCATCCCATATTGCTCATCATCAACTCCAAGTACAATATATTGTACTTACAGTTGATAAAGAGTTTATCACAATATTTTCAAGAACATGAAAATATTGTAATAAAGAAGGGGAAACGAGATTCAGCTATTATGAAACACATGGCACTCTGGAACTATAATAGATATGAAGTCGTTAGGGGTGTATGGAAGGGAGTCATGGCGCCAAGACTGACATTTGGGAATGCGGTATTGTGTATGAGGTCAGAAATCCAGGCAGGTTTAGAGATACAGCAAAGGAGTGTGGGTAGGCTGGCGTTAGGGGCACATGGGAATACACCAAATGAAAGAGTACAGGGGGATATGTGTTGGGCATCTTTTAGAGAGTAGAAAAGCGATCAGTAAAGTAAAATTTAAACAAAGACTAGCTGAAAGTTAGGATACACTGTGGGCAGCGAAAGTGTACAAGTTTCTATATATTGATTAAAAGGTTAAACGGCGCGAACGAACCTTTTAATCGATATGAACCAACTAGCCCTAACCAAAGTTAAACACTAAGTGGGCAAGCCGAACCCGCAAGCTCAGATCTAAATACATTCAACGAGATGGGGCCGATTAGATGTATATGGTAATAATATTAATTTTAATAATAATAATAATAAATCTTTATTGGCTCAGGAGAGCCGTGGCACCGCGGAAAGGCGACAGCCCGTACCATGTTAGTAGAAAAGGGAGTAAACAGAGAGGAAATTGTGGGAAGAGAGAATGCAGGAGAAATCAGCTTTAACAATACACAGGGCACAAAAACAAGAAATAAAGAAGGAACAGTTGCAAGCTCGAACGGGGGTGCTAAGAACGAAAACACATAGGGCTAAATTTTAGGAAATAGACACTCTATGCGGCATATGCAACCGCGAAAGGAAAACTATAGAACATGTACTTTTACGGTACACGGGGCTTCGTCCCACGCTCTTGGGGGGGGGGGGATGACTACGGATTTGGAGGGGGCACTGGGATTTGCAGACATGGATGGACGAATGGATAGGGAAGGAAAGGGGAGATTGGAAGATTGGTGGAAAAGATCTAGGGGGAGTAAAAATACAGATAAAAATAAGCAATGGAAACTCTTTAAAGAGGGGAAGGGGCGGGGTTCTGTTATAGTCCGTTTCACCTTACGTCCGAGCGCAGCTGATGCTACGAGCCATCGGAGTCCATCCAAGGCGTGTGAGTGTCACGGGACCTTGGAAGGGGGCACAGCGACGCGCGGAAAGCGTATAATAATAATAATAATAATAATAATAATAATAATAATAATAATAATAATAATAATAATAATAATAATAATAATAATAATAATAATGGAGGAGACCAGGGAAAAGGCTGTGTCGAGACAGCTTGACGAGCCCATGGCCCCCTTATTGTCAATGAAATACAACTAGGTGGTGCAAAAAATGGTACAAGAGCAAACATGGAGAAATTATACAATCATAATACAAAGCACTGTCTGAAAGCAAAAATAGTGGCTTTATTATGGTTTCAGATCTAAAAACACACCGCGAAGTTCAGAGAAAGACATTTATGGATTATTAAATTTTTTTTCATCTAGCCAATTTAGTATTTTAGGGAGCGCGTATTTTAACATTTGATACCCATAGTTATTATTACATTTGGAAACTTTCCAGCATTCGACGTGTCGAGTAGTGTAGGTAGGTATACGGCACTGTAGGGAGGCTAACTCAGAAAAGAAGCTTGAGTGTCTACTTTGTTCCAACTTAAAAGAGGAAGTCAGCCTATAATTATATAGTTGTTTTATATCAAGTACTCGGAAGCGTTCAAATAATTGTTGAGTGTGATCGAGAGTGATAGGAAACATTTGAAATAATTCTCAACATTTTTTTCTGCAACAAATATAGTTTCTCTAGGTTTGTAAACGTGGTAGTGCCCCAAACTAGGTGGCAATAACTTAGACTGGAACAAAACAATGAGTTGTAAATTAATAATTTAACGCTAGTTGGGAGTATAAACTGATGACGATGTGTTAGACCAATAACACGTGATAATCTTGAAATAACACTATGTACATGTGTGTCCCATAACATATTTTCTGAAAAGAGAACCCCTAAAGTTTTAAAGGAACTAAGCATTTCTATTGGGCACGAATTAAAAAAAAAATGTGTTTGTTTAATTCTATTAAACAAACACACGCCCGCTCTGTGGACGTAGCCCGCTCGCGGGCTACGTCCACAGAGCGGGATTGGCTAGGATAGCTCGTAGCATCCGCTGCCTCCGGCGTTAGAGTACCAAATTTATAAAAATTAAAAAAGTGATGACAAAATGGTAGGCTAGGTGGCGCAAGCTGCCGCCCGTTACAAAGGGTATAGCTTATAGCATCTATCCATCGCAAACAAATTGGTTAACAGCAAAAGTTCCTGCAGTTCTAAAAAAAAGTTAAAAACTGATACTTTTAAACGGTAATTTATCATTATTTCTTGCTAGAAAGAAGTAAATTTTGCGCACTTTTGGGGATGTTTTCTCGTTCTGAAATAGGTGTAGACAAATCCGTTGCCGGTCGCTCCTTGATTCACGTCAATCCAAGACAAGTTAACAAACGCGGTCCCTTTCGGCCAAGGAGGTTAGAAGTACTAGGAGGGGGCACATTGCAATATTGGTGAAGCCTAGTCATAAAAAGTTTAAACGATTTTGTGCCCAGCGTGACCGCAGATCCGTCTGGCGATTGGTGCGCGTGACATATCACGTGCGAGACGGCTGGTTGATTGTAGGAGGATTTCTTGCAGGCTTGCGCGCGCTCCGTCCGGTAGCTTTTAACAGATCGATGGCTAGACGAAGGCTAGCTACGGTCACGTGATGCGGTGAGTGTAAGGAGAAAAATGAGAAAGAGGCGAGGCGTCAAGGGAGCATGGCTTGTGGAGGCTACGCGGCTGACGTCATGCCCTCTCCTACCCTTCTATTCTCCATGCTTTCGGCCTTCTTGGCGCGTCTGTAAGCATTACCCCTATTTTTTCAGTATTTACGGGAAAGATTTAGTCACATTAGCCGACTGTTCTTGCACCAAAGCGGATGCAAGCTCTGCTTTCTTTTTGCGCCGTAACCCACGGCGAGTCTCTGACCAAAGAACTACAGTCAAGACCGTGATCTTTGTTCGAACATAACATCGGTCTGTACCAAGTAATCAAAACACAGGCGCGAAGTCGGTGTTCATATCGCGCCCACCTGGTATCTTGTGTACGCTAAACGTGTTTGAAGTGGCCGATACGCAATAAGGAGCATGACCGGTAACCTTGCTGTATTCCCAAAGAAGCCAAAGGAAAACGAAAGTCCCTCATATATAACGCCCGTTCTTCTGCCCTCCACTAGGCAAGGCGAAGTTCCTACATATAATAACCATGGACGAGAAGCTAGTGAGCAGCGGGGAGCGAGATCGGTAAGTACACACCATTTTTGTTTCGAAAATCTGGCATGCACTATTCGCTTACGAACAGCTCATGACACAACTCAAACGCTTGCTAGTTACGAGTTTAACTAGTCTGAACCTAACGTGCCTTCATTAAATATAATTGATGCATATTAAAATATGCCGTGCAAACACTTCTATGCACCACCATTCATTCACAATGCGAAATTCTGAGGACCAGTCTTAGGCTGTGCTGTTACGACCAAATATGCTGGCATAGGAACTGCCAGTTCAGTGGGGGGTACATGGCATCCAGTCTTATTCGTCATGTTTCCGAGACACATTGAAAATAAGAGTGGTTCTTACGCAGGTTGAAAGAGCTTCTCAGGACGAGACTCGTGGAATGTGGATGGAGGGATGAACTGAGAGCACACTGCAAAGGTAACAACTGCACTTCATGGTTGTCCTAGCATTGTCCAGAGAAAATAGCAGTTTTTTAACCAGTATAGTTGAAGTGCTGCAACTACTACCATGTTACATTGCAAACCGAGTTTCATTTTGCCCCACTTGAAATGAATTCTTGCACCCTCAGATTCTCGCAGGTTCTTTGTACCACTTACAATATCTTCACGTCCAATCACATCATTGATCCAGAGTCGAGCAAACAAAATGGGTTTGATGCTAATATCATGATGTTCTTGTACATTTTTTTTTCCCACATTGCAGAGGTCTTAAGGGAGAGGGATGTTGAGACAACAACTGTAGACGATCTGGTTGCTGCCGTTACGCCAAAGGGTAGAGGTAAGCACACTTCTTTGTGGAACTTCTTTCCCCACACCAGGTGCAAATGAGTTTGGGGGATGTGCTCAGAGGATGTTGTTTATCTTCCTTGCGTATGGTGCTACAATAGTAAAATCAAAACTGGGCTTCCCTACCCTTACGGCCAGCTGGTCTGAATACTTTCCCTATACAATTGTTATAGGGGTGCTACCATCATATGCAGGATTAAAGCTTGCTTCTATTAGGTGTTTCCTACGTCATAGTATTAGATAAAAAGCATGCCCTCTCAAAGCTGCCTGCGAGACTTACAGGTCACATTGTACAGGGTGCCTTGAATAGTGGCCAGGCTCTTCAAATCAACCGCACAACTCAGTTTCTTAACCTATCACGCTACGATTTTGTGCAGCATTGCCTTCAGGTGATGCATTTTTTCTATAAAATTTTCAAAGGGGAACTCATCTAAGGAAAAAGTAATAAAAGAAAAAGGCTTAACTCCTATGGAAACGCAGCTAAGTCACCAGTCTTCAAACAATAGGGTGCCGTTTGGCACGGGAGACAAGAGATGACGCAAGCGGTCGCGACGCCGACTGCCACCAACGAACGAGCATGCAGCGCCGAGAGCCGGCATCATTAGCAGACAGACTCAAGAGCGGTGCACGCGTTCTGCAGGTGGCAACTGTCGCAGAACCAAATAGGCACAGTAACAACAAGGAACTGCAAAGCAGACAACATAAGGGCCCTGCAAAAAAAAAAGTTAAAATAACCCGACGAACCATTTTTTAATCGTTTATCTGTTCATTCAATGTGTTTTATTAGTAAGAATGATAAAATCATCCGTTGGCACCCGACATTGAAAAAGCTCGCACCGCTTCAGAGTCGAAAATATTGTCTGCTATTCGACACCAGCTCTCGGCATGGTACGCTCGTTCGTTGGCGGAATTTGGCGTAGCGACCGCTTGCGCCATCTCTTGTACCCTGTGCCAACCGCCGCCCTGTTGTTGTAAGACTGGTGGCTTCACTGCATTTCCTTAAGAGTTAAGCCTTCTTTTTTTTACTCTTTCCTCAGGCATATTCGCTCTTTGCAAATTTTATAGAAAAAATTCACGATCAGTGGGCAACGCTGCACCAAATTGTAGTGCGATAGGTTCATAAACCGGTCTATTTAAAGAGCCTGGCCACTATTTGAGACATCCTGCAGATAATAGGGGCAGGGTAATCTTCACACCTTATTTGCAAGGTACCAAGCTGAACAAGAGTCGAGCGTTGTATTGTCTTCAAAAATGTGATAACCAATTTGTGGTAGAACTAAAAGGTTCTTGTTCTTATGCTGCTCACTCCCAAAAAAAATTGAAGGCACAAAGTGTTTGCCACAGACCCCTCAAGAAACCAAAATTGGTCGTCCTTCGAAAAAGAGGAATTGAAAAACCGTGCATTTGACTAGACTAAAAACAAAGCTCAATAACAAGCATCCGTTCTTATACGAAAGGAAGGACCCAATGCTAATTAATGCTACCCCGATTGCAGCAAGCGTTCCAGACAGCATCAAGCGGGAACTTTTGCACCAGATACGCACCTTCTTAACCAACCAACAGGAAGACAGCAGCTGATGCAACCTCAACGAAGAATCATGGCAGTGGTACGACCGACCACGCAGCGGCACAATTTCACATTCCTCAACGACGAATGGAATACCTCCTGCCCATTCTGAACTCCACCCCGGGACACACTCCATTAGAGCCGAAATAAATAAATAGGGTCTTGCAAACCTAGGCCAAACCTGAACGTCCTTCGACGATTTGTGGTGGGGCTATGGTGCATGGAAGCACGTCTCGGAGTGGTATGGTGGGCCTTCAATTTCCACCCGGTAATATCCCAGGTGGTGGTGGCAAAGCAGAAGACATTGATATGGCAGAAGCCTGTTCTGCCAAAGCTTTCTCTCAGCTCAAGTCCATAGGAGCTTCTGCAGCAACAAGTTTACATGCCGTGACAACAGTGGCATTTACTAGTCTTTTTTGCTGCAACTTCCGCAACCAACTGCCAGGATTGCAACATCCAACAGTATGTCGTGCCGGCTCCTCGGACACCATTTCAGGACCATTTGATGCATGGGCAATGCAGGACGCTCAACACCAGTTGAAGACTCGCTCCAGGCCTCGCAGTGGAGCTAAAGTCACACCGCCCTCGGGCATGCTCGCATTAGTACAATGGCCGGACTGTGCGAGAACCACTCGTTTTTCTCCCGAAGTTAACCATTTATCTGGCTGACCTATGTTTTTGCAAGCTTAGCACTTTTGCAGTCAGGGAAAAATTGCAGCTTCCACTCTCTGCACAATTCGTTTAGGGCACTTTGTCGAAACAGCTTGGTCGACATTGGACCAAATGTTACTCGTCTGCATTCGGTCAGAGCAGTGAATGGCTTGGTGCGCCCTCGCATTTGTTGCCCAAGAATCTTCTGAAAACAGATAGAAATAGCTAAATACAGGGGTGGAACGGCTGTGCCATTTTGCGGAAACTGCGCCACAGCCAATACCTCGCGCCATTATGCTCCAAATCGCTCAACGTGCACCAGAAATTTTTTGTCTTGGTTTCGGTTTTTATCCACTCGATTGGCAACAATGAGTGCATTTAGCTTGCTCGATCTTGCAATCCTTCGTTCCGATTATTCTTCCTGTGTATCCCGAGTCGGAAACGCGCGAAAAAACTCCGGGGTCCAATTCCAAGCGCTACACCACCTGCGACTGGATTGTTATTCTTCAACCGTAAGCGGCTAAGCAAGTCGGCCGAGGTGAGGCCGAGTCGTTAGCGTCAGATTACCTGAGGCTCTGCGGCCCCGGGTTCCGGACGTCAGCCAGTTGAAAATACATTAGCAAAAGATTCCTTTTAGTACTTCGTTAGAAGTTGGAACCGCATTTCTGCAAGATAAATCGTGACTTTATTGAACTGAAACGCGGTCAGATCCGAATCCTTGCCGGCCAGCAACTCTCCCACGAGCGGTAGATCTGCTCGGCGTACTTTAACCTTGCTCCTGCTTATTGCTTCGAATACGATAACTCCGTTAATCGTAGTCGGCTGCTTAGATATTGAATTGTACAATAGTATAAACTAGGAATTTGTTGCCCTGTTCCTCCGTGCAACTGCACGTCCGTTGCTTACGCACGTCACGTGGTTCGCACATATAATTACTATGTCGAGCAGGTGTGGGTTGTGCCATAAGCAGTGCTGGTTTGCATTTTGAGCAGCTGAAAGCCTCAGAAAATATCAGGGACACTATCTGCAGAAACATATGGTACTTGCTTTTTGATTCTCATTAAGGCTCACAATGTTTCAAGATTTTGTGTCTGTTTCACTGTTATCCCATCTAGCTAGGTTCCCGACTCATATTCATCTGTGCTGCTAAGCACAATTAAAATTGCTCCCGTGCTCATCTAAGTCACAAGCTGAAGTGCAATGAAGACTTATGTTATCTGCTCCTAGCCTGCTCAAAAATGCAGTTTTAGCTGCTCCCAACCTGCTCCAAAGCAGTCGTTTCAGCTGCTCCCGTGGCTGCTCCCAAGTACATTTCATGAATTCCACCCCTGAAGTAACCGCTGACCAAACATGGGTGTACAGCATTGTTGTTTCAGGCTCAACTGCTTAGTTTTCACACCACAATTTTACCGACTTTTATGTGCCAGCTTTGCTGAAAGTTGCTTGAAAAAAATTAAGCAAAAGTTCTATTAAGATTTTCCACAATCTGCTTTAATGAATGCAAACATCTGTAGATCACACTCCCAATTCTTGCAACTAGAACCGATGAAGGGCCTACCTTTGATTTGTTAGGACAACCATCTTTTCGACTTATCAGGGGGGTGATGGGGTCGGGAATATTGCTGGGGTGCCCCAAGCCGATCCGTCGAAGCCATGACGCCAGAATTTATTCCAATAAGTATATTCTGTACACTTCCTACTTTATTATAACCACAAAAGATAGATTAGAGCCAGTAATTTCTGTGGTGCGCACCAGCAACGCAAAACTGCATAGGCAATTCTGTAACATATTCACATATTCAAGTTATACGAGCTTCTCGACGGTTTTTTTTTTTTTTTTCCGGTTAACGCTTTTACATTGTATGAATGTGGGCTTTTGTCTAGTCGCTAAATTTTGAGAACGAAACTAAACCGGGCTTTTCACACAATTTTACTTGTGAGGGCACTAGTAGTTGATCCCACCATGATTTAGCTAGCGACTTCTCAGGCACATAAAACATTAAATGTCGCACATGCGTTGTGTTCATAACCAACTGCACAAACACGTTGCAACATGCCGCAGAACACAAGAGATACGTTAAGTTACGAAATTACAACTGACTGCCATTACGCTGCACAAATGTAGAACTATTCCAACCAAAGTCCAAAACGCTCATGACTAACCTTACACCAAGTGAATAGAAAGGTAGGCTGCACACTAAATCTTCTATTCGTATATCTCTGCTCCCTTTCATAGCGAAAGAAATTAGAAAAATAATAATCCCGTAACCGTTTGCTTCGTCGACACACAAGTAAGCTTATTGGAGGAACACTGGGTATGAACCTCTGAACATACACGGAAACTGCTTCTCGGAACCAAATGTTGCAGTAGTGTACGCCAGCACAAGAACACTGCACGGGGATAAAGGTCCAACAGTCAACAAGATTTCTTCCGCGGCTGCCAAAGAACATCCGGCACCTTGCTGAGCACGGGCAGGATCTCCACGGCGCAGAAGGGCTGCCTTGCAGGGAGCCCTCCTCGCGTCTCCATCGTACCGGCCTTTTCCGTTATTTAGGCCTCTTTTCCTGCAACAGGAAAGTGCCAGCATCAATGCGAGTGCTCAAGAACCTACAACAGTCTGTTCTTAGGATTCTTCTCATGGCTTTGGGTGTTCAGCACTTTATAGGGGTGTGCAAACAGTGGTTCGAATCTAATAGCACCGCATCATTCATAGCCTTCGCCGTGCTGGAGAAGCCCACAACGTATCTTTTTTTTTTGCAGTGATGAATCTAGAGATGACTGTGCATTATTCACAATTTAAAGCAGTATTCATACACCTCATATTTTTCCAAGAAAACAGCAATAAGTATGTGACAAATAGAGATGGAGAGTCTTAAGTTTGAGCAGTTTTCAAAACGGAAGTAACTTTTTCAAAGTCCCCCATTAAAATAACTACCGTAATATCCCGTAAGAGCGCCCACAAATTAAGAGAAATGGTGAAAAATATGGGGTGTGCGATCCCTGCGAATGGGACAGCAAACAAAAAACTTTCGACAACCATATACTCTGCTTTTCCAAGTCTGAAAACTGAACAAGCTCAAGCCTCCCGGAAGTTCTTCCTCTGCACAAGCAAATGTGCAGCTCATTTCTAGATTGGTAAATGGGACTTGGGCAGTGCTAGAGAAAGTTCCAATAATCTCCTTCTGCATCCCATCTCTGCGAATCCATTGTTTTATCTCTCTCTCCGTTCCCTTCTGGCCTCTTTGTTCACTGGCCAGTAACTCTCTTCACAAAATATTGGATGACACACATGCAACCACAGCCAAATGACTCCACATATTGCGCCAGGAAAAGCACTGGAACAGTGCGTACCCCGTTTCAACTTCAATAACATATGAAAAGGAACAAATTATTTTTTAAACAGCCTAAACGGAAAAACTAAGTCATAAAATAAATTTACAACGAAAAAAATTATTTTTATAGCTAAATTATGGTGCGAAACAATTTTGTAGTTGGCGCCTGCGGGAGCCCGCAGGAAAGTGGCTACTAGACACGCGTGACTAGCCACTATAGCCACGTGGTGCTTACACTCTTGGGAGTTTCCTATGGGCTCAAAATTACTTATCTTTTTTTTTTTTTTTTCTTTGTTGTCGCACTGAAAACAAGGATTAATTAGTAACTTTTATACCCTAGTTACACAGGCGCTTTGAACTGTCGTTGAGTTCAATCGCAGTTATCGGCGCCAACTGTGATTGAACTGAACTAAACTGAGATGGTGCTACATGGCTCTCTAGAACCCGGTTGAAGCTAAAACAAAACTAGTTGTCGTGCCACGTGATCGGTCTAATTGTTAAAGTAATTTACTCGGAGACACACCTTTTATTTATTGTAAGTATATCGTACAATATGTTTAATACCTTGCTGCTTTTTAGCGGCAATTCCACGAGTGCCAAAGCAGATTCAGGGCTAGCTTGCGCATATTTTAGGCCTAGGTGGTACAAGCTACCGTCCGCTACGATGGGTGCACCCATTACTATTTGTCCATTTACACAGCCAGTCCTACCGCCATCTTGGCCCGTTTGGTGGCTTGCCCGCTGCGCAGCTCGGACACCTAAACCTATTCTTTCCCGGATAATTTGCTGCTACGATTCTTTGTAGACGCCTCCCCCTGCATTCCGAAACAGTAAGTGCCTTGCAAACTATGGTCGGCGGCAGCGGTCCCGCGGACAGGCGCCATTTTACCTCCAATGAAGAAGTCCATTCAGTTGAACTGAGGTAGGGGAGCTCAGTTGAACCCAACTGTCATTAGCGGCTCGATGACAGTTGGCGCTGCCGTGTAACCCAGGCCGATCGCGATTGAGTGAACTGTCGTTACTCAATGGCAGTTGAGAGTGCCCGTGTAGCTAGGGTATTAGAGCCTATAGGGAACTCCCGAAATAGTGCAAGCAAGCACCATGCAACTATAATGGCCAGTCATACGAGTCCAGTAACCACTTTTCAGTGGGAGTAAATTCATTTTTTGACATCCTTCTTTCTAGCCAAGCTGTTCAAAAAAAAAAACATTTCCTTTGCATATGTTTTTACTTGCAAAAGGTAAAAACTACAGTGCCAGCAAGCAGAGTTGAAAATGTGGCACAACTCCAATGACAGCACGCTGTGGCAGATTGTGAGTCCATCGGAGCCAGCACGTTGTCAGACGCTCCGATGGCTCACTCGAGCCAGAGCTGCCGACATTTGCCAAGTTATACCGAAACGAAAACTGTGCAAAGGTACCTCACACTGGTAACAAAACAAAACGGAAGGGTAGACTCTCGGGAAAAGTCAAAGACGCCAGCAACGGCAAAAGGGCTTTCGACTCACGCTGCCGTTGGGTGGCGGCCAGTGGGGTCTGCTTCAACTGCAAGATGATGGAGCGCATGCGAGACGTGTCCTTGCTGTTGCGAGTCGACTTGGGGTTGAAGTCGCACAGCTTGGCAATCTCCTCCCACTCCCGGCCCTCCGCATTGGCCGCGTCCCGTTCGCACACCCACTCTTTCTCCGCATTCCTGCGGAGGGGGGACGGGAATCTCGCACACGCCTGGCCGCTGCTCCCGCGCCACCGGGGGGCCAACCCGAAGCGCAAACCGGGTCACCACCGTTACAAAGACACCAAAGCAGCTGCCCCAACCTTGTCAGTACTAAAGGAGGAGCCTGGTTTGTCTACTTTCTACACTAGTTGAGCAAATGCTGCAAGCAACTAATCGCAAGAATGATTTCTTGATTTTGGGAATGAAGAATGTGTTGGGGAGGGTATAGTTCATTTCATGCTATGTGCAAACACAGCCGAAGCAACAAGCACGTTGCCCCGAACGATACTTGCACCGAGCGAGCGCGCGTGCTTGGAAGGGACGCTGAAAGACCGGAGAGCTTGCTCTCATAGCTTCTGCTACATTCGCACCTAAAGTGAAAAGTACAGTAAAAGCCGACAGAAAGAATCTGTCGAGGACAGAAAGTCGGCGCTTTCAGCAAGCAATACAGTGGTTTAATGATGCCAATCACCTCTAGATGGCCTTCCTCTCTTTAAAAAAAAATAAAAAAGTAAAACAAAAAGAAAAAAAAATTACATCGGTGAGGTGCACCGCGATTGCCAGCCAAAAGAGGCGAGCATCCATTGTCTCTGTTGAATTTCTTTTTTTTTTTTTTTATTCAGTTTTAATCAATTTTAATTTACAATTCATATTCACTGGCAACACCGAAACATGACTGTTGAATAATATTGTGACGACTTATCGGGGGAGATATGGAAGGGCACCAAACGTCTTGCTGACTGTTTGAGTTTTCTTATGTGCCAATTATCTTGTATGCAGGCAAGTGCACTTGCATACAAGATCCTCATACTATGTATGACCTTGTGTGTGAGATCATGGCAATCGCCAATCTTGGCATTACCATGAATCAGAGAAGTCACCATAATGCCTCTCTGAGCAGATACGAGAACAAAAGTTCAAGGAAGCAAACGTGGTGGCCATGTTCTATCCTAACTAGCATCTACTTGTATTTTGAGAGCTGGAATCGAATCCATGCAAAATACCACCAAACACTCAATTTTAGCATGTCAAGTACAAAGAAAAAAAGTATCAAATCAATCTAGACAACGATGATCAACTAAGTATAGACAAACCAAGCATACGCTTATTATAATGTCAACTTCGATAAACCTGTCAGTATTAATGCGAGTTTGCCAAAGCCACAGATTGAAAAGAGTTTGCTAACAGTCCTACAGAAAGCGTTCCATGTCAGCTACGAAAAGCACTTACTAAAAGCCTTAACCCTCAGCCAGACTACAGGAATGAATTTCAGATTTAAAGAACGCTGACACAGGTTAAATGTTGCACAGAAGGACATGCTGCTAAGGGGTCAGTCCTACAGCAAGAAAGGTCATGAAAACAAACAAATGAGCAGCTAAACACTCGCTGTTAGTACGACCTCCAAACGCGCTGGGTCGGAGTCGACAAAACGCCGCATTGCACGAAACCAAGGAAGGCGTGCTTTGCAAGGACGATGGACAACTTACTTGGACGCTTCTCTGAATTGCAAAAGACAAGGAAAGGACATGGGAAAAGACATGTTACCTCTTTAATGACAACCGCGAAAGTGGCCAAAGTGCACACAAACACACACACACACAAACAAACAAGCAGACTGCACTTTGCAGGAGGACGGCCCTCGTCTATAAGACGTGCAAACCTTTCTGCCCACACTTTAGATTTTGCAAAGAATCATTCGTAGCCAAACCTAAGTGTAAGTAGAATGCACAGCCGAGGTAACCCTACAAAGCTGCAGATGTAGAGAGCGCCATCAAAGATAGAGCTTAGTCTTCGAGAATGAACAGTCAAAGGCTTTCGAAAGTCCTCAGAACTGCAGCTTGTCGAGTCTGCGACACTGAATATATTGGTTGCAACAATGCTAAATATGCGTCCACGCTCTACAGATGTGTTTCAGACTGTAAGCTATATAACTACGGTAGACTCCGAGATCAACTTGGTATTCAGTTAAAGGGATGCTGAATCGAAATTTGGAGCTCACAAAACAAGGCTGGAGTGATAAGCGGGAGACTGAAAAACCCAAAAACGAGACTGCATAACCCAAAAAATCACTCGTACAGCAATATCTCCAACGGTTTGCCGCATTTTTGGAAAAGTATGCGATTAAACACGGCCGAGGATGCCGACAAGACATTATGTCATGATTCTCACTCCCTCTCCTCTTCGTTCCCTTGAGCTAGTGAACCTAAGCAAGGAGGGGGGAAGCAAAGCAACTTCCCTTCATTCTTAACTGTTCCAGGAGGGTCATGACGTCAGTCCTCACTTGATTGCACCCTTCTTTTCCAAAAATATGGGCATCCGTTTGAGATATGGATGTATGTGTAATGTTCTGGAGTTCGTAGCGTCCCATGCCACGCTTCAGCGACCTTATTTTGCGAAATCCAAATTTCAGTTCAGCATCCCTTTAAGAGTTCAACCAGGAGGCCAGGTCTTTCACAAAAGTTGTATAATGGTCTCACCATTATCCAATGCCATAACAAGCAGGGCAAGAAATATAACTCTAAAGATGGAAGCGTGCTTATAAACTTAAAACATTGGAAAAATAAACAAAAACAGAAGAAATGAACATATCAAGTGCGCAACATAAACAAAAATGAGACCTCTCTACAGTCTATGCTCGTTATAACAGACCTTGATTTTGACCAAGATTTCAGTCTGTTTGTAAAAGGGGTATGTTCTATGCAGATATGAAATTCAGTCAATGGTGCATAGAGGGAAACCAACCGAACTTCACAAGTCAGTATGTTATACCCAAATGTCTGTTGTAACCAGGTCTCTTATAATGAGGTTAGACCGTATATACTGTCCTTCCAGTGGCATCACTTGGGGGGGGGGGAGGGGAAGGGGTATTGCCCCAGATGCAGCACTCGGGAGTGTGCAGCTGGGCAGGGGGAAGGGTGCTGTGCAACACCTTCTATACAAGAAAGCTTAAGTGCTGAATTTTCCTGCATTATTGAAGTAGGCCATAGTAGGGCAGAGATCGGAAACGAGTGTGGAGTTAGCGTTCGGCTAGGAGTCATGTTCTCACTGAATGGACAAAACCCCTAGCCGAACGCCGATGCTATAGTCATGTCTGATGTCTGCCCTACAGTGGCCTTCTTTAGTGACTCAGGGAAATTCAGCACTTAGGCTTTGCTAGGTGGTGTTGGGTCACGCCAAGCTGAGGGCCATTGACCCATGGATGCCGCAGACCCTAGTGAAGCCCTTGTGTTCCTCTTATGCATTCTTTCAATCCTGAGACTTCCCGCCATGTTGACAGTGAACAGAATGCGCTATATCTTTGTTCATGCCCTAAAGAACTACAGTAGAACCTTGCAGACAAGTTTTCACGGACATTACATTCAAAAGCTCTAGTCCCATTAAACTCCCGCAGGGACCATGTCCAGGTGAAAATAATGAGTGGGCCAACTTTCAGTATGCAATTGAGAAAAGGTGAAAAAAACATTTTTAGATCATGTGTCCCTGCCAAGCTTGTTATTGCGGTGAGGGGCAACGAAGCAAGGACGACTGTACCTCCCAGTCAGCACTGTTCACTTATACAGTGGTGTCTTTTTAATATGGACACCTTCGTTCCTTCAAGAAAGTCGTCCATAATGCGAGTTGTCCATAACGATGACCCGAAAACGCACATATTTTTCCAGTTTGCCCCTCGAATATGGTGACCATGTAGCAGGACATCTATATTAATGGGGTCCCCATTAACAGGACACAACTGCGTTCCACCATAGTTAACTGGGCGCATCTACACCAAGGTCACCATTGATCTGAAGACTGCGAATACTAGGAGTGGGTCGTCTTCCAATGTTTTAAAAGAATATAGCACAAGGTGAGCCGTAAACAGGGGTGGGTCACCTTTCGAGGATGGGGCATCTTTCGGGATTTTGCGATAGGCGAGGTGCACAAACGGCATTCGAGAAAGAAATGTGCATTACCTGTTTGCCTGCTTGGACTTCTCAATGAGCTCCTGGTAACGGGCGTACCACTCGTCTAGCTCCTTCTTGGCCGCGGCTCGGAGCTCGTCCTTTTTCTTCTCCTCCTCGACGTCTAGGTGCAAGAAATCGGAATAGCAGACCCTTTGTTAGGCCGCAGTCGCCCTGCACTTGCGTCGCGACGAAACCGGTTTTTGCTGCGGACGTGATCACGGAACTACCTGCAGACGTGCCTCGAGCATGTTCGAAGCACGTTCGCTCTGCACATGTGCGTGCTTCGAGCGTGTGTGCAGACGTTTTTTGTATCGCCAATGAAGCAGGACTGTCCTATCTCGGACCAACACCACCTAAACCGACGGACCTCTACGCTCTTCCTACGACATGGCGCCACGCGCCCGGCCACCTGACATCTGCATCTTTCGATCGTTCGGTGATGATCGCAGAGACCAAGGCATAATGTGCTTCATTAAATTTGTTTTTCCGTTTGAGGCGATTTCTAACCGAACTGGGGATGATTGGTATGCATTGGTGCGGGCCGTGATGTGTGCCACAATGTGGAAGAAACATGCGAGAAATGTGGGCCCCTGGGTACCTGTACGGAAAGGAGTGAGAAGATTGGGATAAGTGGGAAGCTTTTTCGATCAGGCCTCGTTTCGTTGGACTCGGAAACTACAATTTTTCTCGACAAGTACACTGCTGCTAAGTTCTGTGTATAAAACGGTATCTCTGTGCCTTTTATGAATGACTAAACCTTAGCTGGTTTAAGTCTAGCGTTAGAATCCTGCCGAACACGAGAGCTCGCTAAAAAGAAGAAACCATGCAAAACGAGCCACAATCTGGACGTTCCGAGCTATGTGTACATATTGAATACCCTCAGCCTTTGACGACTGCGCATTTGACGAACTTGACGATCTATTTGACGACGTTTGAACGAGCTAGAATTTGCTTGGCGGCTCGGCTTTGTCTAGCCGACGCGAGAGGACTGGAGAAGCCGGACAGATTGGCTGACGTCGCACGATGTCGAGAGGAGGCATTGAAGAGGCCGTAATCTAGGTGGTGTTGCTCAACACAGCATCTGCAGGCAGTCTTTTGTACGATGCATCGGCAGTGTGACCACAGCTTAGAGGTAGGCCGAGTCAAGGTGTACAAAATCTTTCTGCACACCTGCTATTGACGACGAAAACATAGAAGTGCAGTGAACGCACTGCGACCTTACGCTTTTAGTATATCTGTCAATATCTGTGCATATTCTAGTTCTTGTCTGCACCATGACCTACGATGCAACACTATATGTAGAAAGAGGCTACAATCCCAGAAAAAAATCAGGTTGGGGGAGCTTGTTCCGTTTATGCGTGAGCAGCAGTGTGCATCTGGGTAGCTCGCGCCTTTTTTTTTGAGTGGATATATTTCTGGCAAAGCTTTCAGCTCTCAACTATGATCACTAATTACTTTTGCTCGTCAACATGGGACGTCGGACTCTCTTTGCTTGTCACCAGATGCTAGAGATTCTCAACCAAAAAAGAGAAAAAATAACATTGTAGAAAAAAAAAAAAAGTACCTTTGATCTCCAACATTTTTGCCTGCTCCTCCCGCCACTTCTTAATTTTTTCCGGCTCTTCGCGAACAGGAGTCGGCCTTGGCGAGGTGTCATTGACATTGTTGGCCAACATTTCCGAAGGCCCGTTCATCTGAAAAATGCAAGCAGCATTAGCGCCAATCGTCACCTGGAAAACAACCTTCACAAACTCCAGCAAACAGAGTAGCCACTATGAAGTGTGTAGTGCCTTCAACGTGAAAGAAGCGCCATATAAAACGAGATTGCCAACAAAAGATAATGAGCCGCCTCAAGAAAAAATTTCGCCACAGGCAGTCGTAACATCTATACCAGTTTTCACCTCGAGAAAAAAGTAAGTTTTGCGCACTGTTCATACGCTGCGTGAAGTTGTTCTTACGAGATCTGCTTGTCGGAGAAAAAGGCGGTGCTTTTGACGTTTGGAACGTGTGCATCTTGATAAGATAACTTATATCTAATCTAAAATTCACCTACATATATCTTAATCATCCACATAAAGAGGTAAATTAGTAATGCTCCGTGAGGAGCCGGACTTGTTTTACTGCGGTTCTTGAGGTGAGAACGGGTATGGTGTGTTCTTCCATATGCATTGCAGCCCTCATCATTCTTACAGTTCTGCGATTTTTTAACTGAAATTGAAGTAGTTCTGTATTTGACAAGGACGCTCCAATTGTCTTCAGTCGGCCTTTCCACTCGCAAGCGTCAATCGTTTTTTTAATGTAAGGCACCAAGCAGTCGAAGCGCTTTTAGGTAGGGATGCCGCGAACTTTTTTCGAATCGAAGTTTCGATGATCGAATCAAGCGGTTCGAAAGGTTCGAAAGATTTCGATTTTTCGAATTGTCTATATCGTAAAATTCGAAAGAGGTCGAATTTTCGAACTTGTTAAGCTAAGAAGTTCGACGCTTTTCGAACCGTCGAACTTATTACGCTATAAAATTCGATCTTTTTCGAACTTTCGAACTTATTGCGGTGCAAGGTTCGATGCTTGTCGAACTTCCGAATTTGACTGACAAAAAAATTCGATGAATTTCGAACTTTCGAACTTATTTATCAAGAGAATTCGAAAAGTTCCGAACTTTCGAATTCTGAAAAGTCGGAATTTCGACGAACTTCGAACTTTTAGGGTAAAAGTTCGACGTTCGTCGAACTTCGAAAGACCGGCGGACGGTTTCATTTGATTTCAAGTAGTGGGGTACATTCGTAATTTTTTTTTTCTCGAACTTTTACACGCGGTGCTGCGTTCCTTACGAAAGACAATGCCGTTTATTTCAAAGTTCTGGCATGCTTAGGTTTAAAGAAATAAATCCCCGAAGGGGGAGGAAGGACGACGGGTTTTTGACGATTATCGTTTGTGCCAGATTTGAAACACGCTGTAGCCGAAGCTATGTATGGTAGATATGTTATACTTTTTTAAGAATGATCTATGTATAGCCTAGGTAAGTGCCGTTTTAAGATGTGATTATTATTATTCAACGTGAGTTTCGAAGAAATCTCCAAACGTGTATCTGCATGCAATTATGACCTAAACTTGATATTTATTTTCGTCTAAGTTGTTTGAGGTATCGCATTTAAGTTAACACCACAGACAGTACATATCATTAGAAGAGGAGGAAGGAACGCCAACCAAAAATAAAAAGGAGCCCAACGTTTCGAAACCTGCTTGGTTTCTTCTTCAGGGGCGACTGTGTGCGCGAGGAGCAAGTGGTCTTCTTTTACGGCGGTGGACGTGATGTTTTCGCGATCGTAATGTGGCTGAGCCCGCTGACGTAAGCCGACGGTAAAGCGCCAAGCGACCGATTGATGTTTTGCGGTGTGGTTTGAATGTGCCATGACTCGACGAAAAGCCTTTGCCGGGAATTGGTCTCAATGTCGAGGATACGTGTGTCGTCGAAGTCAATGCGGTGGTCATTCGAGTCACTGTGTTCCGCAACCGCGCTGCGCTCATGATCGAATTTTCGCACGTCGGTTTTGTGCTGGCGAAGTCTTTCTTTAAAGTTTTTGGTTTCGCCGATGTATGTGGCAGGGCAGTCCGCACAAGGAATCTGGTAAATAACGCCTTGCGCTCTTTCCTTTGGGGGACGATCTTTTGGCCGGGGCATCAGGTGTCCAAGCGTTGACACTGGTTTGTGGGACATCTGGATGCCTTCTTTTGCCAGCACACGCGCGAGCGCTTCGCTGGTTTCCTTTATGTAAGGGACGCAGATGCGCGTGGTTGAGCGGGGATGTGCGATTTCTTGTGTTTCGCCGATTGGTCTTAGGCGTCGATCAGATTTACGTTGACGACGAGCGATTCGCTGAATAAAACTGCGTGTGTAGCCGTTATTTAGCAGGTCGGAGATGATGGTTTCTTCTTCCTTTTTTCTGTAGTCCTCCGACGAGCAAATAGTCTTCGCTCGGGACAGGAGTGTCCGGACGACCGACGCCTTGTGGCTCGCAGGGTGGTTTGAGTCAAATCGGAGATAGCGCCCAGTGTGTGTCGGTTTCCTGTACACCGTGAATTCCAATTGATCTTTTTGTCTTTTGACCAGCACGTCAAGAAACGGCAGGGCGTCGTTCTTTTCAGTTTCAACGGTGAACTGGATGGCCGGCTCGATGGAGTTGAGGTGTGCCAAGAAGTTGTTCACTTCTGATTTCTTCATAATGCAGAAGCAATCGTCGACATACCGTAAAAACACTTTAGGGCGTGCAGTGAAAGACTCCAGCGCGCGATGTTCAATGGCTTCCATTGTCAGGTTGGCCGTGGTGACGGAGATGGATGCGCCCATTGCGGTTCCGCTGGTCTGCTTGAAGAATTCTCCTTTTGAGACTTTTGAAGCTTTTGAGACTGAAGAAGAAAGGCGAAGCAATGCACAGCACTGATTCCACTAGGTTTGTTACGAACCTCTCCTCCAGGCAACTATCCCCGTGCGAGGTCAGTGTGTTGGCGAAGGGTCACGGTTTCAACATGACCACGACAAAACCCCCTTTGCCAAAAATGGTTGCAAATATCGAGGACGGCATCTTGCACCTAGATCCAAGTGCCCGAGACCGAGTCCGGCAGAAGGTGATCGGCATCCTATCGAAACTTCCACGTCGTCAACAGCCTAACCTGCCACGGGAAGAGATAGCAGCTCTCCGGGAGCTTCGAGGAGACACAAACATCGTGATTCTACCCGCGGACAAAGGAAACTCGACTGTGGTCCTTGACCGGGATGCCTACGAGAACAAGATTCAGAATCTTCTTGACAGCTCTGCCTATGAAAAGCTCAGGAAAGACCCGACATCACAAGTTCAGACAAAACTGAACAATATCCTTTCTGAAATGTTTAAGAAGTACCCTGACGCGCGGAGCCTTCATCTGCGGCTTCTGTGCAGGAATGGGTTTGCGCCCGGTTTCTACGGTCTTCCTAAGGTTCATAAGCCTAACGTCCCTCTCCGGCCGATCGTGGATTTCACAACCTCACCACTTCGGGGATTGTCAAACTACCTCCACAGCACTCTCTCTCCTCTCGTTGGAAACACAGCGACCTATGTGCGGAACACCGGGCACTTTGTGGAACAGGTTGCGCAACTAAAGGTAAACGATGACGAAAGCCTGGTGTCGTTCGACGTCGTCTCGCTCTTCACCAGCGTGCCGGTTCCCCTGGCAGTCGCCACAACCAGAGCTGCCCTCGAGGGAGACAAGAAGCTGAGCGAACGGACCAGCCTTACGGTGGACGAACTGTGCCGCCTGCTAGAGTTCTGCCTGGGGAGCACCTACTTCAGCTTTAAAGGAGAATTCTTCAAGCAGACCAGCGGAACCGCAATGGGCGCATCCATCTCCGTCACCACGGCCAACCTGACAATGGAAGCCATTGAACATCGCGCGCTGGAGTCTTTCACTGCACGCCCTAAAGTGTTTTTACGGTATGTCGACGATTGCTTCTGCATTATGAAGAAATCAGAAGTGAACAACTTCTTGGCACACCTCAACTCCATCGAGCCGGCCATCCAGTTCACCGTTGAAACTGAAAAGAACGACGCCCTGCCGTTTCTTGACGTGCTGGTCAAAAGACAAAAAGATCAATTGGAATTCACGGTGTACAGGAAACCGACACACACTGGGCGCTATCTCCGATTTGACTCAAACCACCCTGCGAGCCACAAGGCGTCGGTCGTCCGGACACTCCTGTCCCGAGCGAAGACTATTTGCTCGTCGGAGGACTACAGAAAAAAGGAAGAAGAAACCATCATCTCCGACCTGCTAAATAACGGCTACACACGCAGTTTTATTCAGCGAATCGCTCGTCGTCAACGTAAATCTGATCGACGCCTAAGACCAATCGGCGAAACACAAGAAATCGCACGTCCCCGCTCAACCACGCGCATCTGCGTCCCTTACATAAAGGAAACCAGCGAAGCGCTCGCGCGTGTGCTGGCAAAAGAAGGCATCCAGATGTCCCACAAACCAGTGTCAACGCTTGGGCACCTGATGCCCCGGCCAAAAGATCGTCCCCCAAAGGAAAGAGCGCAAGGCGTTATTTACCAGATTCCTTGTGCGGACTGCCCTGCCACATACATCGGCGAAACCAAAAACTTTAAAGAAAGACTTCGCCAGCACAAAACCGACGTGCGAAAATTCGATCATGAGCGCAGCGCGGTTGCGGAACACAGTGACTCGAATGACCACCGCATTGACTTCGACGACACACGTATCCTCGACATTGAGACCAATTCCCGGCAAAGGCTCTTCGTCGAGTCATGGCACATTCAAACCACACCGCAAAACATCAATCGGTCGCTTGGCGCTTTACCGTCGGCTTACGTCAGCGGGCTCAGCCACATTACGATCGCGAAAACATCACGTCCACCGCCGTAAAAGAAGACCACTTGCTCCTCGCGCACACAGTCGCCCCTGAAGAAGAAACCAAGCAGGTTTCGAAACGTTGGGCTCCTTTTTATTTTTGGTTGGCGTTCCTTCCTCCTCTTCTAATTGTTCTTACCCAACCAGGCAGATTTCTGCCAAATGTTTACTTTCCAGTACATATCATTGCCATCTGCAGAATACAAAATAATGTACTTATTGTTTTTTTTCACGTTAAGGAATAAATTAACTCATGGGAGAAGATTTCTAATAGTGTTCAAGTTCAGCACGTCATTAAAAGAAAACTTTTTTTTTTTTTTTTTCGCTTCACGTTCCTGGGACGTGTTTCTTTTAGCCTGTACACATTTTGGTAAAAGAAACTTGTTTCGAAGTTCTGAACCTCTGAATATGCAAGAATAGAACACTTTCGACGAATTCGTGATAGTTTTTTTTCTCTCCTGCTTTTTATCCCCGCATTTATTCTTTTTTTTGTTACCATTGAACTTCCGAACCACTAAGCATGTGACGAGTAGTGCCTTCTGACAACGAGTTTCTAACAATGACCATCTACGCAATCTTTTATGCAGTGAATAGCGACAGTAGCTATACATATGCATAAATAATTTCGGATTAAAATAAGCTCGACCACGCCCTCTTTCCCCGTATTGTTTTCTTTAACAGTCCGAAATACCTGCAAGGGGGAGAAAAAGGCTAAAGCCCCCCCCCCCCCCCCCCCCCCCCTCCCGCTACCCCCCCGTTTTTCCTCTTCCGACGCCACTTTTATGGTAGAACGCTCCTCGACCTCGAGTTGTGTCGGCTTTTGTGCTTTTTGCGAGGCGATTCCTCCGTCCCAGAAAATAAACCTCCAGGACAATTACAAACTTCACTTACTATATGCCAGCGTCACGCGGGCGGCGTTCGGTCGGATTACTACCAGCGTGAAAGGGGTGGCGAGGTGGTTTGCCAGGCCGCTTCAAGGTTTTTCTGAGCCTCAACCTCCTGCTCGCCCCTGGCCGTTTCGAACTCGATGAGTCTCGTAAAACAGTGTGTTCGTGTAATCACTACTGCGTGATGCAGGTTAAAGACCCCCCCCGGGGCTGGCGGTCACAATTCTGCACTGGCAAATATTCTAGCACGTCCGGGACACTCGTCGTCTCATTTAATTGCCTGACCAACTTCGCAGAATGTAGATATCACACCCTAACTTTTCTAAACTTGATTTTGTGAAAACCAGTGAGTCGTGAAAACGTTATTTAAAACTGAAACTGGTGGAAAAACTTCAAAATCGGATTTCGAACTTTGAAATCTTGGATTAAAAAAAAAAATTCAAAATCTTCAATTTTTTTTTTTTTTTAGTTTAGCGTTAAAAGAGAATCGAAACCTTCGAACTTTTCGAACTTTATGCAGAAAGAAATTCGAAATCTTCGAATTGTTCGAACTTCATGTCTATAAAAATTCGAAGCGTTCGAAGTTTTCGAATTTTATTTCCAAAAAATTTCGAAATCTTCGAATTTATCGAACCTGAAGTAAAAAAATATTCGAATATTCGAATTCGAAATTTTAGAAACCGTGAAAGCTTCGAACTTTTCGAATTCGAAACTCCGCTGTGGTCAAAAGTTGCGAATTTTTCGAATTCGAACCTTGGTCGGTATGAAAAGATCAAAATTTTTCGAAATCGAACCTCAGTTCGCTTCGCAAATATCGAAACCTTTCGAAATCGAACCAAGGGTGGTTCGCGACATCCCTACTTTTAGGTCCTGCTGCAACTCAAGAAGGTAGGGCGAGGGCAAGACGGGTCGAGGAGGAAGAAGCAGACAAATTGCTAAAGAGAGAAGGGGGTTTCCCCTTCTCTTCTCCAGCGTTCCATCTGCTTCCTCCTCCCCGGCCCGTCTTATCCTCACCCTACCTTCTTGAGTTGCAACATACTATAGTTTGCGTATGCGCTTGTTTTTTGCCATAGTTTACAAGTGCATTTTTACAGTCTAGCCTAACTTTTATGGTAGAGACATCACAGTGTCAACCCTGTGGGAGGCAAGGTAGACAGCACAACACTCTTAGCATGAATAGCCGATCGCCAGTTTTGTTCTGCTTTGTGAGGGTAGAAGAGCTGTCAGAAGATCTACTGTGTGCTGGAACATGCCCGTTTGGCACAAAGCATTGAAGTTTGCTGCCTGCCAATACACATCGAAAGTTAAATTCGGAAAAGCGCCAATGTCGTCTTTGTTTGCACTAACAGTGTCCCGCAGTGTCCAAGAGCACTGCGCACCTTGAGCACTTACCAAGCTATGCAAACACTCTTCACAACATAAATGCTACACAAAATTGTCCTTGAGTATGCACAACTGCAAGCATGGTGTTCTGAAAGGTGCCTTGGGCACGCAAGCATCTGTGTTACGGCAACTTTGGCAGGCTTCCAGTTGCATCTGCATGCCCACATGAGCAGCATGCACTGGGCAGCAGAAAGCTCTGGAACTGCTGTCCCAACCAGCAGTTTTCCCTTTTTCTTGTTTTTTTTACTCGCATTTAGTAATATTTTGGGAGGCAGATAGTTGTAGTATATTGGGATTATAGGGCTGAAAATATGCCATTAACCATACAACTTTTTTTTTTTTTCAAGAAGCTTGTTGGTTTTTTTTTTTTTATGAAACACATACAGCACCAACACTTCTATATTTTCACTCGACACAACTTACAAAAAAGAAAAGTCTCAGCATTACGAAGACCCACTCATTAGGTGGGCAGTGAAGTACTAAGTTTGCTTGATGTTGATAACATGGAAACTGACAGACTGTGTTCCTAAATCCAACCGAGAAGCTTGTTTTTAGCACCTGAGCAACAATCCACAACCTCACACCAAACTGAAACAAAAAGCTGTCGTTACCTGTATCTCACCAAACTCTGCAGCAATGTCGTTTGTAGGGCCATCTAAGAAGCAATAAAAAAAATGATTAGACACGGTCGAAAAGCAGCCGGGATCATTTACTGCCACCAGGATGCAACATCACTTAGACCACTGAAATCCTTTCCAGTGAAGCCCCGCTTACATACGTAGTATGACTAAGTCTAAGCTCGCAAAGGGGGTGTAACTGGAAACGCATGTTAGAAGCCATCAGTCAAAAAACTGCGACTGAAAATCACAAGTTTAAAGTTTATGTCCCAAAACCGACTAACTGGAGATTACTTCGGGTGACCTGAGCGATCTCGAACGTGAAACTAAAACCTGCGGTCATACGTCAGATTACCGGCAATGTGCACACAAAAAGAGGTAAATCAACGGTGCATAAAGAGACAGGAGTTCGAACTCCACCGAAGAAACTTCAGTAACGTCTGTAATCAAATAATCTTCCAACTCGGGAAGCGAAAAACGGGATGGGAGGTGGTGTGGGGTTGGCAGGCTTGGCTCGAAAATAAGGCGTTTTAGCGAGCGAGAGGCTACAGAACTTGATCGAATAACCGTAGCCCTAAACCCCTACCAAACTCGAGAACTGCTACTTAAACAACCTAAACGTTTGTAAAGCGAACGAACATAACGGTAATCGACAGTGAACAGAGACGTGGAGTAGGAAAACCCTCCAAGTGACGCCCCAAATCACGAGCTCACGAACGGGCAGTATCTAACAGACGGCTCGGCCGCGAAAACCAATTCAAAGTTTGGAGATCCGAAAAATGGAACGCTTTCTACTCGAGCAAACCGAGGTAAGGTCTCAAATCAAGCAAGAAAACGGGGTGAGCTTTCTTTACCGGCCAAGGGTTCCGCGACATTGACGCCGAAGTTGTCGTTGTCATCTTCCAAGCCTGCCAGGACGTCTTGCTCCCTGGCTAAAAATTCGGCAGCAGGGTCTTCCTCGGCGGCTGGCGGACCGTCGAAGTTGGCCTCGAAGTTGTCGAAGTCTGCCATGCTGTTCGGATGAGAGGAAATAAGTTACCCTGCACGGTGGTAAGCGTGCGCTCGTGGGAGGCGTATTCAACCAGAAGCGAGACACAAACGGAAAGACCCCACACAAAATGTCGGCGGCAGTGTGAATGACGTCACGCAAACCGGGTTCACTAGTCGGCGGCCAGGAGGAGCTGCCAAACAGATAGGTTTCGTGAGTTTTCGAGTAAAAGCCGCAGGTACCGTTTGCAACTTCTAGCTCTTCTACTCCTACTCCGACGGTTCGAAACCGGTCTCAATGTTCCGACATTATATATATTTTCTTGGCAGGAACCCAGAAGTATGAGCAGACATTCGGCTTTCTTTGTGTGATCTTGAAATTAAATAATACGCGATATTTGGAAACAAATTCCTTTTCTTCTAACCTTGCCTGATGCATTTAGGAAATAATTATTTTTGCCCTGCTGTTTTCGGTGAAAGGATGACAGAGAAACGTGCACCGTTCTAAAAGAAACCGAATTATTGTCATTTAGTAGCAAAATAAAACATCATGGCAAAAATGACGAATAGGGGCAGAAAGGATTCCTTTTCCTCCTTTTCGACCCTGTCTACTTGACACCTCCGTCCAAGGAGGGCGCTAATGGACTTCGTTGAGTTTAGTCTAGTTTATAATTTATTGTCAACACATAACCTGATTCAATCTAATCTACGCAAAGTAACTTTAGTGTATCAGTGAGGTGCATACAAGGCCTGTAATAAAGTGGACAAAGTACTGTATTGTCACTATTACTGAGCACGACCCCAGTTACTCAAAGAGAAGAGAGATGGCGCCAGCAGTTCAGTCGCGTGTTTGGGAGAGGCTGAGAGGTTTTAAATTCGCGGCATCAGGTAAAATGGCCACGGCTGACGCAAAAACATCGTGTAGCCAAAAAAATAAAAAGATACAGAGCCGGCTTTATCGCCTCGCTATTAGCAACACCGAAAAGAGGCCCAGAGACGACAGCTAGCACCACAAAAGAGACAAAGCCGTTCTTATACCCCTATGATGCAACTTTCGGCATTCAAACCTGTTATGAAGAACAAACGAATAAAGAAAAAAAAAAAGTTAAACAAACAAACAGGCCGTGTCAATGCAGATGACGTTATTCTGCTTTTGCTCCTTATTATTTATTTTTTTCCCGAGGTTGGAGGGGTTCGATGTTCAAAGGACTCTATTCAATTCGCTTCCGCGCTCCCGGGCTGATCGGAATGTCCCCGCCTGCATATGTAACCTTGGGGGCCTCGAATTCCATCGGTTTTTACGTAACAGCTGTTCGAGTTCCATAAAAATACGTCTAACGTCAACGTCTAAAACACGTAAAAAAAGACGGTGGAAAACATCCATTCCAACTGACAGCTTTATACTCAAGAGACAATGCTTCTCGCGCATTTCGGTGATGTGTAGGCCGAATCTTGCGCTGAACTTGACAGAGTGTTTGTTGACCAAGTGCAAGGACAGCGCCTGCAATGCCACTAAAAATATATATATCCAGCAAGCAAAGAAAAAAAAAAAGCTACCGATAAAGGCAAGACAGCTGGCTGTTTGACACGGACAATGGATACATTCTGAATGGCCGACTGGTCAACAAAACCAATTGACAGCTCTTAAAACGAATCGGAGTCTCTCAGATGAATCGGAATTATTGACACAATGCGTGCTATTGCGATCATTATTGATGGGGAAAAATCCATCTGTTGTCGTATAGATGTACCGTTCGCATTAACTAGCACTGGGCGAACGGCTATCAAATAGCTAACTTCATTCGCGCGACAGAACCTCCACCGGTGCAACGAATAAAACACCGGTCGTTTTCGAGTTCGCGGAAGTCGGCATATCGCCTTTGGCGTTTGTTTTGGAGAATCAGCTGTACGCTATCACAGTGTTTCCCGCTACGATCGATTTTTCCCTCGAAAGCAGCACACAACACGCTTGGCAACACTGCGCGCGCACCCGTACGACCGGGAGGACGTCCGCGCTGCGGAACAGCCGATCACCCCACCTCCCGAAAAAAACGCTTCCACCGGCGAATCTTCGCAAAGACAACCTCCAGTAAGGGTCGCGACGTAATGATCCTCACAGCCGGCGACAATACATCACCGAATAGAGTAGAAACCGTTTAAACATCCGCGACAACGACCGGCAAAACTTCGGTGCACGGTTCGGAGGGGAGTACTGGCGCTCAATGGCACCGTCGTAAACATGTTTACATTTCGGACAGCTGGGCGGGGCCACGGCACGCCGAAAAAACGAACATTTCGGCACGAAGTGTGCCCAGTTTCGACTCGGTCGCCGCTAGGCTCGAACCCCACGACGGCATCGAAGCCGGTCGGGGTCCAAACACCGCGCCGGCACGCGTTTTTCGAGCGTAAAAAGCCGGCACCGCTCGGGACATTTCCTCACATCCGGGCCCTCGGCGAAACCGCCATGGCCGCCTGACAACGGGCCCGACCAATGAGGAAGTAGGTCAGGCGAAGCTCGACCAATCGGAGGCCGCTGGGAATCACATGGCTTTGTTGTCGAGCGCGGCGGCCCGCGAGTCGGCAAAGAGAGAGGGGGACGAAGTGAGAGAACATCGGCCAGCTGTGCGGTAGATAGCGAGCGGTCCGCCGGCGTACTCGGTGCGTTCACTGTGTTTTCTTTTTGTCGGACTGGCATGTCACTTCTCCAGCTTGCGCGCGAGCAGGTCGAACCTTGAGAGGTGCGCGACGCGGGGATACACAACACGATGTCGACGGGCAAACGACTGGCCAAGCGATCTATCCTCGGCACACGAGTGTGCGCGCCGACGCTGGACGGACTCCACATGCCTGGCGTCATCCAGGCGACCAAGACGGATTCGGACGACGAGAACGTCTACACGGTGTCGTTCGCCGACAAGACGACTGCGGAGTACCGCGGGGACGAACTAATCGGGCCGGGCTTCCAGACGGTGGCCGGCCTCACGCTCAAGGCAAGCCAGAAGGTTTACGTGACGTTCAACGGGCGGGAGGTGTCCGGGGTCGTGATGGAGCACGACGTGCCGCGCGACGAGGTGCTCATCTCGATCCAGCCATCCCAGCACAACCACCACATCTCGCAATCGGTCGAGCTGCGCAAACGGTTGGACGAGGTTCGTCTGCTCGAGAGCCGCAAGTCGGCGAGACTTCAAGACTTGGACACCGACTACTCGCGGCTCGCCGAGGGACAGGGAGAGCTACGACGACGTGCCGCGTCGCTCAGCATCGACGTGCCGGCTTCCATCAAGTGAGTCGCCCCTTTTCGACCCCGAAGGGGCTAGAATTCTCGGGCTCTCGGCGCCTATTTTTAGTGTTTACATCACAAAGTTGCGGTCGACATGGCCGCGCCAAGCGGCTTCCCAGCTGATCGCAATGTCGGCGAACCCGCGAGGGCTGCGCGCTGCCTCTCCCCCGCCGCCGCGCCGCCAACCCTCACCCCACAGCGAACCGGCCGGCGACTTCGAAACCGGGCGCCCGCAAACGTCGCGCTAGGCCTAGCCGAGTTCCCCGCGAAACCAACAGTCGTCTCCTTGGCGAACCGGCGATCAGCTGACCGCCCATGAACGCAGGCCCCAAGCTCGACCGGGCCGGCCGGCCGGTCTTTGCGGCGTACAAACAAACATGGAGGCGCGCCCCTGTCACTGCGCAGCAGCGGGTGCGCAGCTGACGTCACGGAGACGTCACTCTGACGTTGCGGCCTGTTTTGCTTCTCCGGGCGGCTGTTTGGGGATCCCTCGCTTCCTCGCTCTCTGAATCCCCGAGAGGGGCCCCCGCTGCCTGCCGCTTCGTCGAACCGATTTCGCAACTGCCGCGATTTCGGCCCCGTTTCCGCATGGAGCTCGTGGCGACGCTCTTGCTGCTTCCTCAATCATCCCGTGCAACAAATTCGGTGGAAAAATAGAAACACAATCGGAGAAGTTTGCCACGAAAACAACCAAGGAGGTTCAGGTTGCACACTTTCTTTTAAGTAACACAAACTGTTGTTTTTTTTTTTTATTATTACGGTAGTTTTTACGCTTGCCACCCCTACGTTTCCGCTTGTGACCGTTTCCTGAGAAAGTACCTTTTTTCTAATTAAAAAGAAAAAAAAAAATCCGACGCATCGCCTTCCTTTCCGAAAAATCGATCGCTCCCTTCCTTGGAACGCCGATTTTTGCGTAGCAAGATGTCGACCGCGCGACCTCCCAGAAACATGGGCGTCAGAACAAAGGAAGGAAGAAGCTGCAACCGAAGGGCGCGCAGTGCCCGCCCTGTCCGTTTTAACGTTTTTGGCGACATTGACTTGAACATCGAGCGGTTTCTTCGGGAGCAAACCTGCCCCTATTGTCCACGCGTCGGAGATGTCGCGGCGGATCGCTTGTCTTCGAAACTGCTTCCTGGAAACAAAAGCGGCTATGGCACCTATTTTACAAACGTCGCCTGTTCGCTAAGGCGGCCTTAGCTAAATCTACGTTCTCTAAAAGGAATACATTTCTGGATTTCTCGCACTTCCTGTAATAGGTTTAACGTACACGACTAGAAACAACATTGAGAGACGATTTGCGGTTGTTCTTTTCGACTACAAAAGTATTCATGGTCTTTTTTTTCTTCTTGTTTTTCTTTTTGCTATGTACTTTTTTTTTCAAATACTTTATTGCAGAGTTTGTGGTGTTCTAGATATATTCAATATCGATAAAGTTATACGAATGAGATTATTAAATTCATCGTTTTTACGTTTTACATCCAGTTTACGAACTCATTTTCCAACTTTTTATCATGTTCCACACTGACTGATTTAAACATTAAAATTGGAACTATGGCAGTAGGTTGCACACTTCGTTTCGATGAGCCTTATTATCAGAAACGAGTTTCGCACTGGTTGTTATCAATCTGTAAATCTAGGACAATCATATTTTAAAGCTACATTTACAACAAACTGAAAATCGCACATCTTTCGTGTCGCAAATCATCTGGAGACATAATAATATACATGACGTCAAGCTTGTTCATACTTCCGGTTTTCGGCCACTTCGGAAACGGAGAGTGAACGGGGCGGGGAGGGAGAAAGCGGATGTGTGGAAAGGACATCCGGCAACACGGTGCTTTATGCCGAAAATATCGAGCTGGAATTCCGCAAACACTGCCGTTATTAAAGGACAAATTGTTGTACAAAAGAAAGCCTTGGCTAGAGTCAATGGCGTTCATGAAATGCACCGAGATGCTTTTTTTTTTTTTTTTATGGTTTCCACGCGATTTATCTACATCACGAAGTTCTAAAGTTAACAAATCATATACGCATCCCATATCTAATACAACGAGTGATCAAAGTGTCGCACTGTTCATCTTCGCACCAGGGAAGGAAAAGGCCCACACCTTTCCAGTAATCGAAGAGTGCTACTCAATTAAGTCTCCCATTCTTTGAACAGTGCTAATTGCTTATGGTACCCCAGCGTAAAAAAAGAACTTCCCATTTACTTTTAAAAACAATTTTAATACGCATCAAAAGTGAAAGCCAATATCTCCGCAACCTTAATTTATTTTTCACTCTCTCTCTCTCTCTCTCTCTCTCCAAAAGTGAGCTAGGTTATGTGATCAGCGTACGTAATCGACTTTTTATATACATATATATATGTGTGTGTGTGTGTGTTTCGCAGTTTGCTGCCGGCCTAGTTTCCCAGTGAAAAAAATAATTAAAAAAGTGGCGCTGAATAATTGTTTAAACGCCCAAAAGGCAAAAAAAGCCTACAAAATAAAATTAAAAAAGAAAAACAATCACGGACGGGAATATTAGAATTAGAACGCTGTTTCCTGGATTGCCAAAGTTTGAAAAGCCGTTGCATAATTAAACTTGGCGATGCAGAACGCAATAAACAACGACAGAGACAGATTACAGAGTATAATTATAATGCAATTAAATGCAAAGGTGCAAGCGAGCTGGACAAGAATGACGAAAATAATCCCTGGAGAAGGGGAACAAGAGGGACAAAGGACAAACACAAATCTCCAAACACAGCTAGGTGACTGGCTTGTTCTCCGGGGACTATTTTCGTCATTCTTGTCCAGCTCGCTTACACCTTGGCATTTAATTTCATTATAATTATAACCTTAAATTGCAAGCTTCACCCCTTGTTGGTGTTAGACTGGTGGCAGCTGATAAAACCAGTTTGCTCTACTGACGTCTAACTCCTGGTTAGCTCAGTTGGTAGAGCGCTCCACCTGTAATGGTGAGGTCCCGGGTTTGATACCCGGACCAGGCGGATTTTTTCGGTCGCTCACCAGTCACCTAGCTGTGTTTGGAGATTTGCGTTTGTCCTTTGTCCCTCTTGTTCCCCTTCTCCGGGGATTATTTTCGTCAGTCGAGATTACAGTGTGGTTGTTTTCTTCGTTGGACGTAGTTTCAACTTCCAATCAACGTTTCGTCAAAGTGTTCAGCGGTCGTCTTGTCTTGTAAGAATGAACCAACTCGCCCGCATCGCCATTTTGATGCCTAATAGACCCATCTCGAGCAAAATTCGGCAGTCGCCAATGTTTCAGAGGGAAAGCAAATCATACTTTTGGTTCTCCATTTCTAGGTTAGGTGGCGCAAGCTACAACCCGTTATAAACGGTTAGCATCTATCCAGTCATTGGATCCGAGTCCTCCCTCGTAATTTGGTTCCTGCGTACCCGGTGATAGAAGGAATTCCTTCTATCACATACATCGGTCACGCAACAACTCTGTCCGCAGACTTGCCCACGTGACAGCCACGGGGAGTTCGATTGGCTGGGACGGTTTTCGTAGCGTCCGTCCCGGATCGTCGTAAGTTGAAAGGGAGCATAGCCCGGAGCTGTTTGTTTTGCCAGCCCTTTCTTCGCCTTCGAGCGCAGTTCCGCAGTTCCCGACCGAGAAGACGCCGGCTGATTTTCGTGTTGGGGGAGGGAGGGAGAGGGCGTAGAGCAGAGAGAGAGAGAGAGCCTTCTTCCAGGCCTCCACGGCCCCTTCTTGTTGCCCCTTCCGGGGTCGAGTCTAATAAGCAACGCGGCTCTCTTTTCATTTCTCTCTTGTTTTTTCTTCTTTTCTTTTGTTTTTGTCCTCGAAAAAAGCAGCCCTCCTTAGCAAAATATATTCAGTGCGAAAGCGAGCTGGTGGAAGTTTACCACGATGAATTTAACCGGAGACTGGGGCAGAAGGAACGAAGAATCTGACCGTGGTAGAACAGAGACAGTCGTCGTCCGTAACTCAGCTAATGATGTTGTTGTTGTTGTTTTAATCACATCATTAAGCCCCAGAACATTTTTTTTTTTTCAAGGACAATCACAGAACTCACCGGTATCAGAAAACAAAAAAAGACTACAAAGCACGACTAATTTTAGATATATGAGAAACTTCTGCACTGCTTCTCTTCAATCTCAAATGGTAAAAATAAAACACACACACACACATTCCTTTTAGATTTGGCGCACAAACGAAGCTGCAAGGTTACCCACCCTAATCCCTCGTTGTTATATATATATATATATAATCTTTAACAGATGCGTGGCACCGTAGCAGATAGTTGACTACGCTTTAAGCATCGATTGCATTCGTTGAGGCTACCGGTTCTTCGCGTCGCCATTGGTTCCTGATCGTTCTCATGCATGCACGGTGCAGCGATTCGATTGGTTGTATAAGAAACAAGGGACGGCCGAGGCACGGCAGCGATTGGCCCCCCGCAAGGCATGCGAAGGTCCAATCACACCGATCCACAGTGTGCGATTATAAAGGGAATGACAAGACCCCAAATAACGGACCATGCTCTGTTGCAGAGCCAATCAGACAGCGCCAAGAGTGCAACGTCACGTCGCTTCATCGCCTCGGTTCGCTCGCTCGCCACCACTCACTATAAACCAGTCACACACACAGTGAACGCGCCGCAATCAAGCGTTTTCTTTTCTTTTTTTCTTGCATGATCGGTTCACTTGGTGATAAGCAAATGCACGAAGACAACGAGCGCCGTGACGACACAGTTTTGGCGCTGGGTGAAGCGCAAGTTCGTCTGTTTCCTGCACCAGGGTTGCGATGATGTCAGAACGCCAAGCTCTTATTGGCTGATCGAAAAAAAAACAAAAAAAAAGAACTTTCAGTCTTTCCATTTTGGTGAAGAATGAAGACCAGCGGAGCTGTACAATAATGGAAAGTAATACGCCGGCCGCAAGTCGGCAAACCAGAGTGGAAAGGCTGCCGCCATCTATGAGAGACGACTGCAACCACATACGTGGCTTTCCGCCGTCGCTCATAGATGGCGGTAGGTGTC